AAATCTTACGGCGTAGACGAGAAGGCCGTCGAAGACGTCGACAAAGACGAGCTCAACGTCGACGAGAGCAACGAGCAATTGAACAAGCACAACGGCAACGGCGACATCAACAAGAAACACAGCGTGAACAACGACGACAACAACAACGAGACCAATTACGAGAACAACAACGTACACTATATCCACGCGGCCGAAGCCAACAAAGAAGACAAGAACGGTATCAGAGATGGTTAGAACGACTTGAACAGCAACAACAACATCCAAACAGACAACCAACGAATTACCATCCACGCATAGTAATTCCAGGTGATTATGATTATTACAGTGGTGAAGATGACCAAGAGAATCTATTAGAAGCGTACGAATGGGAAATCATGAATACACAACAACGTCGTGATCAAATACAAATAATGGAATTAGAAGGATTCGCAGCACTGGAACAACTATTACTGATTCAAAATGAGCGTGAACAATCTCAACAAATTCGAGATATACAAGCAATCGATGAAGAAACACAACAGGAATTCAACAGATTTCATCATTGGGACCAACAACGACTATTGGATTATGAAGAAAACCGCGATACCCTAGTATACGAACCGAATGATGATAATCAAGAACAATTACATCAAATAGATATGCTTGAACATTATGATATAGAAAGACAACGACAAGCCGCGCTTAACGACAATTGGGATCAACGTCGTCTCAACGAATATTTGAGAAGTCCAACACCACCACAATTACAAGACACCTCCTCGACCGTTGATTACCTGCGACGACATTGACCACTAGACCATCAATAATAACGACAACTACGATTGGTACCTGAAATTCGATTGCAAAATAAATTATTCGATACAGAAAATGGCGAAATATCGATCACAACCAAGACCACAATCGAAGGGAAACCAGGACAAGAAAACACTCACTCTTATCTGAAACAAACTAGGCCGTTTACCGCTCAAAACAATTTCTAGATTTCTGAAGATAACTTCAAATAAAACAAAATTAATACATGAAAGAAATTCTACCTTTTCTTTAGCAAACTAGAAATCTAGATCGTAGTATTTTCTTTAAAATATAATACACACCATATTATAATTTAAGAAATCTCTGCTTTGCTTTTTCAAATTTATTAAAAGTGAGAAGAATGTTTCTTTGAAATTTTTCTTTTCAATTTAATTCTTTGAAATTATGCAGTGCTTAAACTACCTGATGATGATCTGTGAGAAAGATCGAAATCTAGATCGTAGTATTTTCTTTAAAATATAATACACACCCAGAGATAAACATTCATTTTTAAGAATGAAATGTTCAACGTTCAATCATTTATTATACCGATTCAACGAAATTTATCTACCTTGAAGCAAGCACCCACACTATGCCTTGTGCATATTGAGCTTTTTTGAACAGTTTTACTCCCTTGAAGCAAGCACCCACATCATGCCATGCCCCACATAGAGATTTTCGAGCAGTTTTACTCCCTTGAAGCAAGCACCCACACTAAGCCATGCCCCATCACATGAAGATAGACCCTCTGGATGAAGATAGACGAGTTATCTGTGGTTCTTTTTTAGACTATTATGAAGTCTTCCTTTTTTCAATAAAACGAAGAACAAAAGAGTATTATCTCAAAACGGAAGCCCGAACGGGCTGACCCAGTCTTATAGAAGAGCATTTTTCAACAATTTATGATATATAACCCTCAAGAAGATGAAAATACACGCAAAAATATTGAAAATTCACCCATATATGATTAATATTCACCCATAGATGATGGAATTTCATCAAAATGACAGTTTTTTCAAATAGAAATTTCAAAGAATGAACAACTCATCGAACAGAATTGAATATCTTGAGAAAGAATTCGAAGTTTTTTACCGAATATACTAACGGGACTTCTTTCTTTTTGAGATGTTTTTCAAAGGATTTAACTCCCTTGAAGCAAGCACCCACATTATGTGCTATGCATATTGTGAGTTATATAGATAAAAATTCATCGAATTTTGAACATTTTCTTTCTCAAACAAATGACAAATTTTGAAGGAATAACGACCAACAGTATTCAATCGGAGAATTCATGAATGAAAACCAGAGATAAACATTCATTTTTAAGAATGAAATGTTCAACGTTCAATCATTTATTATACCGATTCAACGAAATTTATCTACCTTGAAGCAAGCACCCACACTATNAACTCATCTACCAGAATTTAATATCTTGACAAGTAGTTGAAATTTTTTTAGCGATTATACTACCGGGACTTCTTTTTGAGATGTTTTTCAAAGGGTTTTACTCCCTTTCCCAAGCACCCACATCATGCCATGCCCCACATAGAGATTTTTGAACAGTTTTACTCCCTTGAAGCAAGCACCCACACTATGCCATGCCCCATCACATGAAGATAGACCCTCTGGATGAAGATAGACGAGTTATCTGTGGTTCTTTTTTAGACTATTATGAAGTCTTCCTTTTTTGAATTAAACGAAGAACAAGAGTATTATCTCAAAAGGAAGCTCGAAGAGCTGACCGAGTCTTATAGAAGAGCATCTTTCAACAATTGATGACAATTCATCGATAGATAATGAATATTCACCCATAGATGATGAAAATTCACCCAAACAGGAATGAGATTTCACCAATATTTGATTTTTTTAGAATATAAAATTCAAAGAATCAACAACTCATCTACCAGAATTTAATATCTTGACAAGTAGTTGAAATTTTTTTAGCGATTATACTACCGGGACTTCTTTTTGAGATGTTTTTCAAAGGGTTTTACTCCCTTTCCCAAGCACCCACACTATGCCATGCCCCATCACATGAAGATAGACCCTCTGGATGAAGATAGACGAGTTATCTGTGGTTCTTTTTTAGACTATTATGAAGTCTTCCTTTTTTGAATAAAAGAAGAACAAGAGTATTATCTCAAAAGGAAGCTCGAAGAGCTGACCGAGTCTTATAGAAGAGCATCTTTCAACAATTGATGACAATTCACCGATAGATAATGAATATTCACCCATAGATGATGAAAATTCACCCAGACAGGAATGAGATTTCACCAATATTTGATTTTTTTAGAATATAAAATTCAAAGAATCAACAACTCATCTACCAGAATTTAATATCTTGACAAGTAGTTGAAATTTTTTTAGCGATTATACTACCGGGACTTCTTTTTCAGATGTTTTTCAAAGGGTTTTACTCCCTTTCCCAAGCACCCACATCATGCCATGCCCCACATAGAGATTTTTGAACAGTTTTACTCCCTTTCCCAAGCACCCACACTATGCCATGCCCCAACACATGAAGATAGACCCTCTGGATGAAGATAGACGAGTTATCTGTGGTTCTTTTTTAGACTATTATGAAGTCTTCCTTTTTTGAATAAAAGAAGAACAAGAGTATTATCTCAAAAGGAAGCTCGAAGAGCTGACCGAGTCTTATAGAAGAGCATCTTTCAACAATTCATCATATTTCACCCGTAGATGATGAAAATTCACCCAAACAGGAATGAGATTTCACCAAAATTTGATTTTTTTAGAATATAAAATTCAAAGAATCAACAACTCATCTACCAGAATTTAATATCTTGACAAGTAGTTGAAATTTTTTTAGCGATTATACTACCGGGACTTCTTTTTGAGATGTTTTTCAAAGGGTTTTACTCCCTTTCCCAAGCACCCACACTATGCCATGCCCCATCACATGAAGATAGACCCTCTGGATGAAGATAGACGAGTTATCTGTGGTTCTTTTTTAGACTATTATGAAGTCTTCCTTTTTTGAATAAACGAAGAACAAGAGTATTATCTCAAAAGGAAGCTCGAAGAGCTGACCGAGTCTTATAGAAGAGCATCTTTCAACAATTGATGACAATTCACCGATAGATAATGAATATTCACCCATAGATGATGAAAATTCACCCAAACAGGAATGAGATTTCACCAAAATTAGAATTTTTTCAAGTATAAAATTCAAAGAATGAACAACTCATCTACCAGAATTTAATATCTTGACAAGTAGTTGAAATTTTTTTAGCGATTATACTACCGGGACTTCTTTTTGAGATGTTTTTCAAAGGGTTTTACTCCCTTTCCCAAGCACCCACATCATGCCATGCCCCACATAGAGATTTTTGAACAGTTTATCTCCCTTTCCCAAGCACCCACACTATGCCATGCCCCATCACATGAAGATAGACCCTCTGGATGAAGATAGACGAGTTTTTGTTTCTTTTTTAGACTATTATGAAGTCTTCCTTTTTTGAATAAAAGAAGCAGAGTATTATCTCAAAAGGAAGCTCGAAGAGCTGACCGAGTCTTATAGAAGAGCATCTTTCAACAATTGATGACAATTCACCGATAGATAATGAATATTCACCCATAGATGATGAAAATTCACCCAAACAGGAATGAGATTTCACCAAAATTAGAATTTTTTCAAGTATAAAATTCAAAGAATGAACAACTCATCTAGCAGAATTTAATATCTTGAGAAGTAGTTGAAATTTTTTTAGCGATTATACTACCGGGACTTCTTTTTGAGATGTTTTTCAAAGGGTTTAACTCCCTTTTACAAGCACCCACACTATGCCTTGTGCATATTGAGAGTTTTTGAACAGTTTATCTCCCTTTCCCAAGCACCCACACTATGCCATGCCCCCATCACATGAAGATAGACCCTCTGGATGAAGATTGACGAGTTTTGTGTGTTTCTTTTTTAGACCAGAAAGTCCAAAAAATTTTCTTGGATAAAAGAAGAAGAACAAGAGTATTATCTCAAAACGGAAGCCCGAACGGGCTGACCCAGTCTTATAGAAGAGCATTTTTCAACAATTCATGATATATAACCCACAGAAGATGAAAATACACGCAATAATATTGAAAATTCACCCACCCTATGATGAATATTCACCCATAGATGATGAAAATTCATCAAAATGACATTTTTTTCAAATAGATATTTCAAAGAATGAACAACTCATCGAAGAGAATTGAATATCTTGAGAAAGAATTCGAATTTTTTTAGCGAATATACTACCGGGACTTCTTTTTGAGATATTTTTCTTGACAAATTTAACTACGTTTCCCAAGCACCCACATTGAGAGATATGTGTGTGTGTCTGTCTGATGAGTGTTGTTAGTGTATATGTGGGTGAGCATGTACCCTACAGGTCTTTTGCTAAAGTTTCTTGTTATACACGAACACAAGCTGCGGGGTGCAGGGTGCAGGGTGCACTCGCATCTGATTGGTCGACTGTGTTCAAGAGGATAATAGCTTGGGAGGAATTTAAGTAGAGGATGATTTAGCTTAGTATGTTTGTGGCTTATGGATTTTTTTGCTTTCGTTTGTTGTATGATTATATGCATTTCCTGAATAATTTGGAATTGACGGATGAAATTCTCTCTCTGTCTCTCTCTTGTAATTTTTCTCTCTCTCGGTCGGACTGAATCACTCTCTGCCTGAAGGAAATCTCTCTCTGCCTGAATAAAATCTCTCTCTACCTGAAAGAAATCTCTCTCCCTGTCACTCTTTCTTCCCATTCCCTTCTCTCTCTCTTCTCTCTCTCTTCTCTCTCTCTGGGCGAGGGTATAAATATAGGTGTTTAGGAGATCATCGTTCATTTCACACTTCAACGTCGTCCAGGTTAGTCACTTTATTATTAGTACAATTTTTCCTGGAATAGTAATTGTCGTCGCAGTTTTTTGAGAGGGCAAGCTAGTTCATTAGAACAATAAGAATTCGGACATCTATTTCTGGTAGGCTTTGAAGAGAAGCTTGAGATTCGAATCTTATCGTTTACAGTTGGAAATAATGAGTGGTCGCCCTCGTCCAGGAGCACTTAATCTTAGTGCAGAAGCATCGTCGAATCATCGGACATGGTCGATAGATAGTATGTTATCGAGCAGTCCACCGTCTAGTGAGGCGGAAAGGTCACGAATCTTTCGACGTGGTACAATCATTAGTCCAAACACGTATGATCGAAGTATTCTTGAGGTCGATCGGTCTGACTTGGTCGTGGCGAAGGAAGCTTTTATAGAGGAAGATATGGAATATGAAGGTACCAAAGATAATGCAATGAGTTCGATCGATAACCAACAAATTCTATGCAATATAATTAATCGTAGTCGTCAAGAAGAATTAGATCGTCTCAGTCAAGTCATATTGAGTCAACGAGCTCCTTATGATAGTGATGTTCAGTTAATACTTAGTCAATGGAATTTCGGTCGATCAAGTTTACATACGAACGAACTTCATCCATCTTCTATATTGATTCAATCAGGTGTAGTTGCTAGTCGTCATCGACCCTCTACAGCCTATAGTCATCTTGATCATGCCTCTATTGCTCGAGAATGTCAATTCAATCTCGAACTAGCACCATCGACAACAACAGCGACACATAAAAGAATTCGTCTACATGCAAAATCATTTGCTATCACGGCATGGACAGATGTTAGTAAAGATGTGGTACTCGATCATATCAAAAGAGAATTTCGTATAGAAAACATTCAATATATATGTGTTAGTGAAGAAATCAGTGAATTGAATCATCGACGACACCTTCATGTTCAGATTATCTTAAAGGAGAAAGTCGATCGAAGAGCACCTTTTCTTGATCGTATTACTGGTACACGATGTAACTATCAGGTAACACGAAATGATCTTGCTTGGAATGAGTATATCAAGAAAGAGGGTAACTATCTGGAATTCAATGAATTTAAATCGACTCGTGCTCGAGCTGATAAACAATATCCATCGTTGTTGGCATCATCATCATCATCATCATCAGTAGAAGTAGCATCATCTTCTCAATCGAATACATCCGATAGTACACATGTGTCCCATCAACAAGTACCAACACACACGAATCGTCGAACAACAACAGTCCGAGCACAACTCGAAGTTCGACGTCAACTTGAAAAAGATACTATTGTCAGAGCATTACAACTAGCTGAGATTAATGTTCATCAGGCCATGGATCTCATCCGGCAAGCATTGCCATGTAAATTTTTCGCTCATAGTTCGTGGTATCTTTCAACATTCAATTATATTCATCTTCGAGCACAAGAGCACGCTGAACGACATGGTCAGATCGATAAAGAATATGTTTGGCCATTGTCATTTCCCAATTGTACTGATCGATTGTGTGAGGCTATGGATCGATGGATTCGACATAATTTTTCTCGTACCAAACGTGCTAAATGTCTCATTCTCATTGGACCGACCGGTACAGGTAAAACATCTTTTGCTATGTCACTACCTGGTCGTGTCAATTATTTCAAAGAACGATGGAACCTTGATCATTGGAGTGACTATGCTCGACATTCTGTCTATGATGACATCCCATGGGACGATTTCGCTAAATTGAACTATCCGAATAAGAAAAGTCTTCTGACACAGAATGGCAAAATGAATGCCACAGACAAATACCGAAATACTCGTGAGATCAATGTTCAACAGCCAGCCATTGTTCTATTGAATCCTGAAGATGCTGGTTCTCTGTTAGCTCAGCCAACCACTATTCAGGAACAACAGGCAGCACTCTATTGGAAAGAACGAGCATTCATCTATGTCATGCAACAGGATGAATACTTCTATAAACGATCTCAGCCACATCATCAAGCCGTTACAGCTGATGACGATGCATATCTTTCAGGTTCTTCATCGATGGGTTCAAATGATGCTCGACTTGGTGAAAAAAATGAGTTCGAGTACATGATCCATCGATATCAAGAGAGTCATCGAAAGCCATCATAGTTGTCTTTCCATTCATCTTACTCTCGCACATGGTCTTCTATCTATGTACAAACTATTGTTAGTACTGTACATGTTGTAAATAATGTAAATACTGTACATATATACACTGTATATAGTTGATTCCTTTGTCCCTTGTATATACTCCCCCGTTTCTCTTACTCTGTAAATATATTGATATTCGATTCTATCCACTCCTGTACATAAACATCCTGTGTGTCATGGCATCTCGACTGATAGATCAATTCCAACCTTTCAGTACAAAGCCATCTGAAGAGACCCCTAAGAAAGGTCGAAACACGCACCTATACACATGATAACAATATAAACTCACAACACAAGGTATCTAGATGTGGGTGCCTCGAAGTCGTTGACCTTTACAATGGAAAAATCCTTCCCTATGATATAATGTTTATACAAAAACAATATATGATTGTTCAGCTCTCGAGAAAAAAGAATAGTAATTATACCTTTGTAAATGTGCGTTATGATGTTATCGTTTGAAAACTTCCGGATAAAGACAGTCTGAAGATCCTATCACAGGATGAAGCCACCGGAACAGATCTTTAGTAGGATCGATACACGTCATGGTAGCTAATTAGAAGTCTGCGCACTAAGTTTAGCATTGTATGCTGGAGTTTTGTAATTTAAAACATTTTCATCGAAAAAGGTATTAACCTCTATAATTACTTCAGATTAAAGTTCAAAGTTTATTCTATTCTCGAAAATTTTAATATGCAAATGTCTTTTGAAAAATCTAATTATTGTATTGAAAAGTAATTCGAATGTATCCATAAGAAAAACTTTAAGAATTACTATCTAAGTAAATATAATATTACTATCTAAGTAAATATAATATTGAGAACACCACCTGGTGAAGTCAAGCCAAGACAGAAACAACTGTTGTCGTGGTACGGCATTCTAATTTCTAAACACACACCCTCGAAACGCGTCGTATACTGCTTTGGATCTATATATCTTGAGTGTTTAACACACCCGTTATATACAGAGCTACGTTATACGAAATTTTGACTATATAGGATTTACTCCTTTTAACTTTATTTTCTATAATTCTTAATTCAACTTGGTTGTCGTCTTTTCGGCTCCTTCATTGAATTAGAATGTGGAATTATTGTTAAATACTAAGGAATATTTTCATTTCAATATATTGTTCAAAATTTTCACATGTAGTAAAAGATTCTAAAGATACCTGATGATTGAACCCTTCAGCAAGGTTCGAAACGCGTCGTATTCTGCTTTGAATCTATATATCTTGAGTGTTTAACACACCCCCACCCCCACACCCTCAGGTAGCTTCCTAGACACCCATATTCTTTATTGAATTTGGTATCATTTACCACTATATTCTTTGGATATAGCAGAGTAAATTGTCTTTATTTGATTTTTTGTTCAAAATTTTGTTTTGAATTTTTAAATCGAATTTGAAGACTTTAAGCCACCTGATGAGAATATCTAAGCAATAGTCGAAACGCGTCGTGGTAGCGTCCTACACACCCACACCCACACCCTTTTTATAATAAACGCTCCATAATTCATATTAACGTGATGTCCACGCTTTAGTTTTGTTTTGAACATAGCATTTCTATCTTTTAAATATTTTCTTTTCTAAAATAATAAAAGGAGTTTCGAACACGATGAAAACGACCATGGCAGCCAAATAGCTGAAGAACAATTGCGACACATAATTGTTGAGAGAAGTCATTGGTTGATAGTAGACAGGATTTGATTGATTGAAAAGAGTAATCAAAATTATCGTGTTATGAATCAAATAAGCAGAATAATTCAAACGTGCTAATGGGGTCCAAACGGCACAAGACAATATTCTATTGACAATGCCACCTTGCTTGATACTACACAAAAATACAAGCCATGCAATTGCGATTGACCAGGCAGGTCGAGATAGAACATGATAAGTAATCAATGAAACTCGATTGATGCCGGGCATTTTTACATAATCGTCGTGAATCGAAAAAATGCATGTCAATGCCAGTGCGGTAGCGACAAATGTTCCGATAATTTTTATAATAGGATTTAGATGATATGTTCTATTTGAATTGGTTACAAGAAATCCGACGAGTAGTCCAATAGCATAAGGTGAAATGCGACACCATGGAGCCATATAGACTTTATCAAAGAAATTCGGACCCGTCTACAAATGAGAAATTAAATAACCAAGATTGAACATGAAACGTTTACAGCTTACTCACCGCATTGCTCGACAAATCCAAAGCATGTTTAACCATATCCGGATAGTAGAGCACAAGACCCAAAGTTGATCCAATGCTGACTAATACGAATAGTACTGTAACTGTATAGCCGATAGCTCTTTTGCCGATTACAAATGGAATCAATGCTAGAGGAGCAATCCAATGAAATTGCATGTCATTATAAAGGTACCATGTCACACCGAGACAGATATCATCGGATTTTAAAAAGTTTCCAATGTACAAAAATGAAGTCCACCAATTGCCATCACGGCATTTATCCGGTTCGAGACCTTGTTGCATAGGATACATAGGTCCTCGACCAAAGTACGGTGTTAAATAAATACTGGCAAACATAACCAAAATAAAGTTCGGTGTTATACGAATGTATCGATGAACATAGTAAAGAACCATCAATCGTAGAGATAGTCGTTCCTTTCGGACTTGTCTCGCGAAGAGAACTGAACTTAAGAAACCACTTAAGAAAAAGAACGTATCTACAGCGAAACCACCGTTGACGATCAATTGCATAGCGATATTGCGTGTAGAAACAGCCAGATCAAAAAGATTCGATGTGTAGTAGATGGCTGAACCAAAAGAATGGCCGAGAATAACCCAGAAAAGTGACAGAACACGAATACCATCAATGAACTCAAATGTATTGTCGCTTTTGGTTTTGTTCATCATAAAAATATGGCGTATTGTACGAATGGCTGAAAATTCTTCAAGACATGCAATGATAGGCATATTTTTGGTGAATGATTCCAACGATTGGTTAGCTAAAGTAAATGATACATCCCTGTTTGAATTCTCGTTCGACAAATCATAGTATCCATCGATTTTTGGCTTTTGGGTTTTGTTTACCATCAGATAAATATGAATCACAAGATCAATAATCGTTCCAGTCAATACAAGAAGTATCAACAGTGACAGAATGATACTAAAGACAATAGTACCTGTCAAATATTCATCATGTTTATTGGAACGATCGTTTGAACAATGCAAATGATTTTCAGTTATATTGTCAATTTGGAATGTCTCACGAATGAGCCTAACAATCGATGTGCGAGTACAGGATGATGGCATGCACAGACCTAAAACTAAATCAAACCTCATCGACACTGGTTGACTGCTAGGATTCGATTGAAGAGCACCTGAAAATAGACTATTGTTTAGTTTTATTGTTCAAAAACAGTTTTGGGACACATCGACATACAATATTGAGTATCAATTGGTTGTGAGTAAAAAGATTTGTTGTTTTTCTCATATAATGGATTAATACATTCATCATAGTTGCCTAGCCAATAGATATTTCCAGTTAACAAGCCAGACGGCAATGGTTTTCCCCAAGCATCGAACACTTTCAGTGCCCATAATTGACGTTGCGATGCAGAAATAATCAGTGTTTCTAAATCTTGTTCACAAGCAGTACTCTGATTGGTTAACACCGATATGTTCCTTAATAGAAATTTTGGTTGAATCCTCGCGATGGGTGTCTCGATCACATCAGTTACAATATTAAGATAATATTGATGAAAACTGCGCAACTGTTTGATGGTTACATCGATGTGTATTGGATTTGTTTCGAATCTTTGTTTGCCAGTAATAGATTGCAGTTCGACAAGTATTAGAAAAAGTATTAATAGAACCGAGAACATGCTAAGAAGATCTGCGATACCTCACTGTTAGATATCGTTGAAAAATAATACAAAAATACTCTATCTGCCGGCCTTTTTCTACCCATGTGATAACATCAATATAGATAAGGTGATGTTTATTAGGATGTGCATATAAACAGGTTTTATATTCCAAGCTACTTACGACGCGTTTCGAACCTTGCTTAAGGGTTCATCATCCGGTAAATTTGGAATATATAGTTTACATCATAAGAAGGGTGTGGGTGTGGGTGTGGGTGTGGGTGTGGTATGGGTGTGTGGTGAGGGTGTGGGTGTGTGGGTGTGACCAGCAGCCATGACTAGGGGGGCAATAGTTCAGCTCTAGTTCTGAGCGAAGGAGCTGTTCGAAAGTTCATTTCAGTAGGAGCTGAACTTTTTCAACAGCTCCTTTCAAAAGAGCTGATCCGTTCGAACCGCTCTCGTTCCTGAGCTGAACTTTTCCAACAGCTCCTTTCAAAAGAGCTGATCCGTTCGAACCGCTCTCGTTCCTGAGCTGAACTTTTCCAACAGCTCCTTTCAAAAGAGCTGACCTGATCGAACAGCTCTCGTTTCTAAACTGAATTGATTGGCATCAGGTCAAAAATGTTACCGAAAACCAGCCTGTGTCTTACTTATAGAGGTGTAAGCCAACGGGTCAATCGGCGGCGACGGCGAATTCTTTTTAAATTATGGCGGCAGCTAGCTTAAATATTTAGGCTCGTTGGCCACAGCTGCTGAATATATTTATTTATTTTTTCCTCACAGCGGCGACGGCTGTAAAAATAAAATTTTTTTCTGGTAGTTGCGGCTGTTAACTTAAAATTTAGATTTTCTTTCGAGAATAAGAAAAACATGTTTATTTGAATACTTGTTCAATGATATCATCAAAAACTATTTGAAATCACCTTATATTTCATCTCGAGATTATAGAAAAAATATATAAGTAACATTACGATCAGTAATGAAGAACAAAGTATACAGTCAACAAACCATTAATTACTAGAAAATAATGTATAAAAAAGCACAAGTAGAAGATTAGAAATAGCAAAACACAAGAAAAGTACGAGAGAAGACAAAGAAAAAAGAAGTACAGGACAATAAAAAGTACAGAAAAATATTATTATTTTTTAATGATCTATAAGTGTCAAGAAACATTTGTCCTTTTCCAACATTTTCTGGTAATAACATTGTTCTTTTGGCGTTGAGAATTAGACCCATAGTTGAAAATACTTGCTCACTTGGTGTAGATGTAGCTGGAATAGGAAGAATAATTTGAGCAAGACTTTTCAGATAAGGAAATGTACCGCCTGATGATTGCCAAAATTGTAATACATCATCACAATTAAGATCTAATTTGAGATAATTTTGTATCTCGTCAGCAACAGGATCAACATCGAGCATTGGAGTAGGTTTGTGTTTAAGAATTAAACTTTCTCGAAGTTTTTTTTGAAGTTTTTACAGGTGGATTTAGAGTTTTTTTACTGACAAACTGCGTTTGATTGACGATCTTGTTGCTAATGAATTTGACTGCGATGTTGTTGGTGCTGCTGATGTTCATTCATTTGACTTGAAGATACTTGTATATCGTGGTTGATTCGGAACTTTTTAATCATTTCAGATAATGTTAATTCTTTTGTTGTTTGATTTTGAGTCAAATAACGACTGATATCAATTTTTAATTGAGATGGATCAAGTAGAAATTCACAAATATCTAGAGGAGCAACTGGACATCGATTATTTAAGTTTTCAGACAACAAAAACTTTAATTCTCGAATGACCGTCGATTCCATTCCATCAATGTGTAGCATCGATTCTATTTCCTATAATAAAAATGTATTAGTTGAAAGTATCTTTTTAATTGAATCTAATCGAAAATGTATCCTATTAGAGGCATGCTGTTATTCGTCTTGAAAAACTGAAATCCATTTTTATGACTGCATACGTATTTTTGTAATATGAGCTCGATTCTTTCTAGCTAGATTTTGATGGAGTTTATTCATAATTTATTCTATACACTTACCATTCGTAACAGTAAATATAATCTCATGATGGGATATGATTTCGACGCTGATAAGATCGTTGTTGCTGACCCAGGTCATTATTGATCACTCGGATCTTGTCGGACCGGTTATAATCCCAATGTCACAACAGGACCGAAATCAATCGGTTAATTTCTGGTTAATTCCGCTTATTCTCTTTGTTTTCTTATGCAATCTGGTTACCGGATTCTCTGAGAACCAGCCACAATAACATTGCCGGCAAATATCAGGTAAGATGACATGATAGGGCCGTATACGATGTGTTCCGGCCATATTCGCTAGAAACACTTTACCAGAATACGCCGTGCACCATGACACTCGATTTAACCGTAGATCCGCCTTCAGCAGAATCGCCGCAACGCATCCGATCCTATCGGAACGAAACGGTCTTACTCGCCTGACTTACCAACTTCCCACAACACGGATCCGACTTCAAAGGTCTGCATGTAATTAATGGATATTTGAGAAACATCTTGCGATTCATTCAGTATGATATTTAACAACTCATAAATAAAGATAGTCACAAATTAAAAGTTATAGTCGATCAACGAGCATTTAAATATACAATCCATCCAAAAAAGCAACATGGTCAGATATTCATTAATCTTGTATGTAGTCATCAAACAAGACAAATGCCACTGTGGCCGTTTATGGTAACTCCTGCAGATATATCCAGTTTCCATGATCACCTCTTCGTCTAACGCGTAATCCACAGCAATATCTCACAAAACATAGCGAGAGCAACATCCTATATAAGCACATTGTTCCGTCACTCAAACCGGGTCGACCTCATCGAACAGGACGCTTAAATGTATTTCCATGCTATTCTGAGACCCAAAGGGAAACACCAAAAAATCAATAAGCACCCTACTGCAAACTAAGATGTTCAATCCCTGCAGATTGAACCAAATTGAATTCCAACATATTTTCCACCATATTACACAAAGACACCTGTTTCCTGAAGAGACCGCACGATGTAGCGACCACCATCGAAAATCTCAACATTCGCCCATGACTTCGCGAAAATTTTTGTTGGGTCAGAATTGCGCGTTCGAGTGATTTTTTCGGAACAGGATCCGGGCTGTGCCGTAATTAAAGACGCTCAGAATCCTGTTTCATGCACAAAATGTATCAAAGAACGACCTTAAATGATAACCTGAACGATTGTCTCCGACTTGGTGAAATTTTTGCTAGGTCCGGATTGCGCCCTGGAGTGATTTCTTCGTATCAAGGTGCGGTCTGGTCCGTAATGGAATATGCTTGGAATCCTGTTTCAAGGAGTAAAATCAAGTTGGAAACAAGTGCAATTGCAATCGGAACATGTTTCTGCGACTTGTTGAAATTTTTGTTAAGGCGGAATTGCGCGTTCGAGTGATTTTTTCGGAATAAATTTCGCTCTGCTCCGTGATAAGAGAGGCTCAGAATCCTGTTTCATGCACAAAATGTATCAAAGAACGACCTTAAATGGTAACCTGAACGATTGTCTCCGAATTGGTAAAATTTTTGTTGGGTCAGAATTGCGCGTTCGAGTGATTTTTTCGGAACAGGATCCGGGCTGTGCCGTAATAGAATATGCTTGGAATCCTGTGTCAAGGAGTAAAATTAAGTTGGAAACAAGTGCAATTGGAATCGGAACATGTTTCTGCGACTTGTTGAAATTTTTGTTTAGTGGGAAATGCTCCATTGAGTGATTTCTTCGTAACAAATTGTGGCCGGATCGGTAATGGTTGAAAAGTAGAACGGAATGAAAAATGAAGCACGAAGAAATTCTATTGTGCGCATAGGTGTTGCTCTCGGTGGTAGCGGCGTATTAGTCGTTGGTCTCAGACCTCTACATACGATAGGATCTCCTACATGATTTATATTTATTGCAGCTAATCAGTCATGTCGATATTTTGATATCTATGTATATGAAGAAAAAATTCAAAAAAAGAATTATTTCAGAGAATTTGAACTTGAATCATCGATTATTTTCTTGTAGTTGTATTAAAAAACTAGTAACTAATAACGGTTAAAAGAAAAAAGTAGTAAGTTTTTATATTATTATTTGACAAAGTTATGATATGAAGTTGTAGAAAGTAAGCAGGGCATCTGTGTGAATATACACCCTTCAAATGTAAATGATAGTCTACTGTGTTGGTAAGGATGATGAAAAAATATTAATGGGTTTAGTAAGAATGAGAATCTTCATTTGAATTTTTTTCTCGTTTTCAAGACAGAAAAGGCGTTTCTGAATGATAAATTATTGATGCATACACTTCGAGCAATAATCCATACGAACTAAAATATAAAGTTGTTGTAAAAAAATGTGCATAGTATCGCGATGAAACAGATTGCAATAAATCAAACCTACATCCGATGTTTTACTTTCTTTCCTTCAATTAACCGAAATATTCATTTATTTTACAGAAAAGTTTGAAATCTTTTACTATATTAGATATAAAATGGTTTTTTTTTCTTCTCTAGACATTTGTATATTCATTTAAACATACGGTAATGTTTCTTTTTTTCTGCTTTTCTATCATCTAACAACACAAGCTTTGATCGAATACAAGATCGTTAAACATGAAAAAAATAACGATACTTTTCTGTAAATTATGGTATTAATGAGTTGATTTTATTCGTGAAAAGAAATAAAATAACTTATTATTAAGATTGCATTCTTATCTTCGAAGCTACAATTTATTTTCATATACTATCTGGTAGATACAATATTATTATAACGACTTTCGTTTAGAATAGAACTAACATTTTTTAGATACTTCTAGTACTATTATATAATGTGCTTATGTCTTAGTTTAATCACAAAAAATAGACATAAAGATACGCTCATGGATTCACGATATGAGGTGATTCAAAATTCAAGAAAAAAAGGAGAGAGTTTTTCAAATGTTTTGATTAGTATTTCATAAGGGTTCAAAACAGTGTTCTAAACTTAACTCAGTTTTTTTTATGCCTGATGTTATTAAAGATATGTTTCTTTTATAATATTATGAGATACAAAAAATATGTAGTTTATTCATTGTTTATGTCTTTAGAATAAACTAGATATTTTAGCTTTATCAAGTTGAAAACAACATTTCTTGTAATAAAATATCTTCTTTTTTTGATAAATATTGTTCTTAATGTGAATCGATATAAAATCCATATACAAGAATGTATATCGAACAAAACATCGGATGGTAGGAAATTTTCATGAAAACGTGAAACAGTCTAATCAAAAGAAAAGATTGTCATAAAAATTCATTTCTATACACAGCCTATATATTCTTTTTCTTCACATCGTCTTCATCTTCTTTTGGCGCGTGTGCATGCTACATAGAGAATGTAGATCATGTATGTTTATAAATGAGATACAGTAACTTAAAATAAAATTTTTTATTTAGATAATTTGAGGTTTCTTGTGTTCAATGATAAATATAAAGGACATTTAAAAATTCATAAAAAATACAATGAGTTCTAGCGAGATAGTTATCCTATTTAATATAATTTATTACCCCATATTTTGTCAGATGTTAAGATGGGTAATAAGATAATAACTTTTGTTTCGTTTTCAAAATTATTTGGTCTATTTAATATCAAAGCTGATGGACCAAAAAATCTATTTTTCTTTAGTATTAGTTTCTATTTTTTTTACACTACTACAAGAAGAAAACAAATGATTCAAGTTCAAATTATGTAAAGTAATTCTTTTTTTGAATTTTTTCTTGATATACATAGATATTAAAATATTGAGACGATTGATTAGCTGAAATAAATATATATTGTGTAGGAGATCCTATCGAATGATAAAAGATGATGGTATTGTATTCGAATATTTACTCAATTAGATGGAAATTAAATAATAAAATAAAAATGACATGCGAGAGAGAAAAGAATAAGAATAGTTAGCATATAGGTAAGTGGCTAAAGAGCGTGAATGACGCAACGCTGGTTCGAACCCAGTACGACTCGATTTTTTTCCTGTTCTGTACGTTGTTTTATCATTGAGTTTTGTTCAAATCTTTTTAGCTTACGGTCAGAGATGCCCTCTCGAGATCTCGACAGGGACGGGGGTAATTGACCACGCTGAATCCGAATCTGCTATTTTTATTTTGTTAATACGAGCCCCCCCCCCCTTCAATACCACTCTGGGGTGATATTAAAAAGTGAAGCTGAAGAAAAAATACATTATTAGAAGATAAAAATAGACAATAAAAATAAATTTTCAATAATGAAACAAACAATTTGTTCATCTTTGATTTTTTTAAAGATAAAGATTCTATTTATCTTTATTCTCTAATAATATACATTGCGATCATCACTTATTCGCATGTGAGCATTGAGTCTAATGGTATATAATTCATGATATATGTTAATAAAATTTTCATTAACTTTAATTGGAATATTTTCTCATTTTATGACAGTAATCGAATCATGCTACATTGAAATTCAAATTATGTGAAGAAAAATTTAATTTTCTATTTTGTTTCTTTCCTTCAAATGTAAACAAATATACGAAATAGATCGATGATGAACATCCTCTTTTCTATTGCAGAGACTAAATGTATTTTTTCTACGAAATGATGTAAAGTATATGTATCTATAGTTTATCTCGATTTGCTTTTGATTACATGCTATTTACGGATGCTGCATTTTGATATCAATAAAAATAATTTAAAAAGTAAAATATAAAAAACAATAAAAGAAAACATAATGATGTAGCATAAAGAGCAAAGATGAAATGTATTACTACTGAAGATATGATTTTTACAGTAGTAATACATTTCTTCTTTGCTCTTATTTTACCCACTGCCAAACATTCCTACATATGTAGCATAAAGGTTCATAAGTAAAAGTTAAAATCATAAAAACTATCTCAATACTGAAATTTTTCAAAACAAACGAAGTAATTACACGAGGAAAAGATGAAATGTAATAAGACAAAAACTAATTAAATCTTGTCTTTGAGAAACATCGAATATTTAAGATTCTTAGCGCTTAGAGAAGATCGATTTTTTCGTGCTACATAACCAGCTATAGAAAAACTGCTTTCACTAGGTACTGAACTCGCAGTAATGGATCCATACCGACGAGCCATTTTGCTCAACAATGGTAAAGACCGTTCGTATGTCTTCCAAAATGTTGAAAAAGAGTGTTCATCTTTATCGAGTGTTTCAAATTTTGCTATCTCTTGTTTTAAGGATACAGTTTTTGACTTTTTAAGTGTTGATAATGGTTGAACAACACCACATTTGACACGAAATAATTTTAGTCGTTCTGCGGCTGATGGATTTGTTGTATTGGTTGTGTTGGTAGCGAGTGTATCTGTAGTTATTGATATAGATGATGCCGGAACTGTTTTGTTTGCTTGATTAATATTACGTTTCATGTGCATGTCTACCATTAGTAGCTTTTTAGCCGACAGCTTGTCATGTTCCTCCATAATATCAACACAACTGGATTTAAAAATGAACAGATCTAAACATAAAAATAAATCACGAAAATTGTAACTATTGTAAAATTTTATTCGATAGTTTTATGTTATCTTTTACTTCATATGAAACAAATGATTACTAGTTTTAAAAAGTGTGCTGGTTATGTAAGTAAAAAAAGTTCTACGTCTCTCTGAAAGGTAGGTTTAATTCATTGGGGGGTAATAGCTTTATCATCATATTAATTTTCTGATACAATAAAAGAGTGATGACAACAATGAAGAAGATAAACAAATCAGTAATGAGATCTGTAGAGAAAAGAAACATCATATACTATTGAAGATAGGCATTGAGTTTCATATCCTTGTCAATGTCTGAAATAGGAGAGTAACCAAAACGAATACGTGCTTAATACTTAGTTTTCCGATGTAAATATGAAATAAAATAAAGAGAAGAAAACGAAGAATATATATCTGCGTGGTAAAATATGTGAACAATCTTATCGTAGATACTGACAATTTTTTAGTTTCATTCTTAACCATATCTTTGTCGCAATCCAAGGACAAAAATATACAGAACTGATTTTTCACAAAATGCTCATGATTCATTGTATTAAGATCATACCAACAATAAATTTCGTTCAGGTGAATCGCTTGAATAATATATATATTTGTGAAATGTTTTTTCTAACAGATGTTTGATGGATTGCTCGATATCATTAGTGGTGTGCTTTTGAAGATAATATAAAAGTGATTCCACTACCACATACGCTGTGGAAAATGATGGATATCCACTTCCAGATAACTCCACTGATGCATCAGAAAAAATTGAAAGTGTTGAATTTAATCTATTCAGAATATCCCATTCTGCATTTTAAATCTGAGATTTTATTAATTTGTTCTTTTGTTTGGATGTAACGCCATCTACAAAAGATAATTGTTCCATGAATGTATTTAAAATTGATCGATATTGAACTAATCGCGATGTCATTTTGAATGTACTGTTCCATCGAATTTGCATATCAAGTATAAGATCAGCATTAATAGAAGGGCGAGCAATATTATGAACAATTCCTTATAGAATACTAGAACGATTGATTGTACTTATGATTTTCCTACAGTTACTAAGAACATCATTTATATTATTAATAGTAGTAGAAGAATCCAATATATGATCATTATCATCATCCATATCTTCATCTGAAGAGAGAATATCGGTGTTATCTTCAAGTGTTTCACGATAGCCGTCTTCGTATAAATCAAAATGTTTGATAACAATATTTGATTCATTATCATCAGCATTGAGCGTTGTTGATATTTCTTCTTCTACTTCTTCATCTGATTCATCAGAGGATTCTTCTTCAACTTCATTGCCATGTGCATGTTCAATTTCACCATCACCGTGTGGTCTAAATAATAAAAATAAGTTACATAACAAAGAGAAAAATCTATTAGTATTGCGAAATCCATATAATAATAACATAACTGATATTTTTAGAAAAAGATAGATATAGAAATATAACATCATTTGACTAAGTTTGACATATTAACCTCAGTCCAACATATTAAAGTGAGTGGATTCTATGACTGGATCATATACAATATACGAAATGTCTATCTTTTGTATTTCACCTTCTGTATGTGAACATCTTTTGCTTAGGCAAGTAAAATGTTGATCTGCTATACAAATTTTAGAAAACTCTGCCAGTGGCAGATGATTTGTACCTCATACAAAAATATTGTAATGGGTTATCTGGCATAACTGGTATACAGATATCATGTGATAGTATTCACAGGACTTTTTATTGCTCATTGAGTATTCAAATAATTTCTATGAAATAGATTCTACTTTGTATACAGGCCAAAGGTAAATAAATATCTGGGATGATCAACACACAGGTAACTATTTAATTATTTTACAAGGAAATAAGCATAACATCTATCAACAGATTTCTGTGACTTGGTAGATTGAAACAACGGTACTAATTATCTTCTCATAATAAACTAATGAACAATTTCGTTTCTCAAAAACATATAATGAGAAGTAAAGAGTACACACGTTGAACAATAAATTTGAGTTGCTATATAAGAAATAAGATAAATGATTCAGATTAGTTGTTATTGATATTTCATATCCCTAATGTATTACTCTTTTCTAGCTCGAACACATTAGATTTAACCGTCGAAAAACAATGTTATTTGTATATTTTTTTCTTAATCAAGATGAAGTAATAAATCTTGATGGTTTATATTTTATAATAACATTTTGTCCCGTACTTATCGATAATTAATGTTAGATTTTTTATTTTTCAACACAAATACATTACTTTGTTAAATCTGTTACTGAATCTTGTTTTTTATTTTTTTTCCATAATTGCAAACCATTTGTAACAGTTAAATTTAGTGCATGCGCTAAACAGTGTAGTCTAACACCAAACATTTCTGGATACTGTGTAGCAAAATGCATATCACCACCATTGTCACTAACAATAGCTACAATTTTTGATTCAAGTTGAAACCTAAAATAAAGAAAAATAAAATTCCGTATGTTATCTGATCAGAGAAAAAATTAACGAACATTAAATAACGAAAGTCTTATTTTTTAAATAATAGAAATAGTTTTTGCATGAAATATCTAGTTTGAATTCATACGCATTGTAAGTGTTTTATAACAAATAAGTTTTGTTCATTTTTAAATATTGTGTCTGTTAGAGTCAGTAATAGTTTAGATCAACACATCACTTACTTATTTACAATTCGAACTAAATGATTCCGAACACGTTGACCGAAATGACGACCATGAAATCGTCGGAAGCTAAGCACTTTAGAAACATTCAGATAATTTGTATCTACATAATGGATAGTAACACACAAGTAGTGATGCTTTTTTGGGCGTCTGCATAGATCTGTTGTTAGAGAAACATAAGGAATTTCTTTCAAATCTTCACGTAGTTGCGCTAATTTATTAGTATATAAATGTTTCATTGTTTGTCGAACCATATTAGCATGAGGACCAACATAACCTGGCATAGCTGTTGATAAAAAATGTGTCATACCTATAAAAAATAAGTTGTATACCAAAGAGCAATAAAACAATTTCTTAATTTCTAAAAGTTCAAATTGAATGATTTGGATAATCTGTTCCATTCAGACCCGGTAGTATTGTAACTTAACAGTAGGGGCGTAACCAGGGGTGAGGTCTAGGGGGCTCAGCCCCCCCCCCGGGGGGGGGGGGGGGGGGGGGGGGGGGGGGGGGGGGGGGGGGGGGGGGGGGGGGGGGGGGGGGGGGGGGGGGGGGGGGGGGGGTCCCGGCCCCCCCCCCCCCTACAGAGATCTTAGCCCCCTGGAAAAAATAAAATTCTATGAAAAAATAAGTTTAGCCCCCCTACGATAGCTTTGACCAACGACTTAGCCCCCCTACAATTTTTTTCTGGTGACGTTCCTACTTAACAGACAGCTTTATTGTTATGATAAGATAAATTACAGGCTACATCATGTTTGTTATGTATAAAACAATTAAAATACATCTTCTATTCTCTCTTGAATTACTTTCTCAGAAGTTTTACTGAAGTTTATAATAAGTATGCTAATTCGAATCAGTACTAATTTATGAAAAATAAGCGCTAATGGATAGAACAAGCAAAGTGTTATAAAGTATACAGGAACCACCGAACTGTGAAAAATTTATTTGCGCAAACTGCAATGAGATAAAACAAAAAATAAAAGTTTCTTCTTTTTCTCTAAAACAAATAAAATTTATTGTGGAAAGATTAAGAAATAATGGATAAATTAAGTTGAAACAGATAGATTTTATTGCACGAAAAGCAAAGTTATTTAGTCACATTCAACTACTTTCGAATACAAATCAGGAATAGTTCACTTTCCTAAAAAACGAATAAAGAACAATAATCATTGGTGTACCTTTTTTCCTAAAATCTCCAAACGGTCTACTCTCAACAACTATACATTTTACAGCCGCTTCGTCGAGTGTAGCTTTACGGAACGGATCAAATAATTGTTTTGGTACTACAGATTTATCACTTTTTGATTTTAAATGGTTCAGTCCATGAACTTGTATTAGATGTCGTTTTATATTCGAATTACTAGTCATACTGCATCGAATTATCTAGAATAAAAATTTCGAATTAAAAGATCACGATAACAGTCATAAAGCTATTACTTTCATGCATAATGAACATTTGTATTCGAGATCAGATAATTTATTAGCATATGTATGAATTATTGAAACTCGTCGTTTTTTCAAAGGAACTGGATTTTCAGCATCATCCTCACTTACATCACTCATTGTATCTTGACCACGAGAACTTAATTGTGTTCCATTTGAAGATGTTTCTATTGCTCGTTTTCGTGTGCCGGTTGATTGCTTATTTTTATGCATAGCAGTCAATGTACTATTAGTTGAACGTTGAGTAGTGGTTTTCAGTGAAGTAGCTGTATTTATTACCATGTTTCGCTCGATTAAAATCAAATCTTCTCTTTTTTAATTAAGAATCAAAACAAATTCTATCTTTTATATGTGTAAAGTATAAATAAGATTGTGTATAAAAAAGAATCGAATAGACTAGACAAAGTAAAATTAAAAGTAACTAAAGACATATGATTGGCGTTCTCTTTCGAAAACAAAACTGATGTTTATAATTTATGCATTATTCAACTACTCAGCTTAATTCATATCGAAGAACGGTACCTAATTATATGAAATTATCAGAGTTGAATTCAGCAAATTTCATATATATATAAACACAAGTGAATCTTGATGGACGTGTACAACAATGACATCTACAAAAGGATATGGTAATAAATTGTAAAAGTAAAACTCGATTAGAGTGATCGCACATATAATAAATACTTAATCTTCAAAACAAAGCAGCCAACAATATTATATTTTTTAGATAAATTACAAAAAAAAACATACTGCTTCAAAAGCCAACATTATTTCTACTACCCAGGTGAATCAATCCGAAGCCGAATTTCATCACGTCCTATCATCCGACATAATCCAGTTGGATTCCTGGTTGAGAAACCAACGCCGGATCCAAATATAGTATTCCACGAAATTCCAATGATATCCCGTTGTCGGAACCGATGTAATCCCTATAGTATTGGAGTTCCCATGGATATTCTACAACATCGGCTACGGACGTGGATTTCTAGAAAACACGAATTTTATATAAGTAATGTTCTGCATTTCTTCTATCTATAGACTTTATCTCTCGCTTTCCTCCTCTCCCTCCCTTCATATTTCCCTATTACTTACTCAACTTTTTCTTTTCTCTATACAATCTCATTCATACTCCAATTCTCTCTATTTTGTATTCTTTATATACAGATCCCTGCACCATGAAAAGTGATACTACGACTACGAGAGCGTTGTGATCACAAGAAGTAGCATCGATATTTCAAATACTGCAAAGTTCAAAGACGACAAATGTAAAAAAACAGTGCGATTTACATTCTTTCAAACAAACGGATCAACTAAAACATAATTTGTGATTCCATCATATAACCTTTTGTTTCACTATAGGACTATTATCAGCGACTTCGACCTTCTTCACCTTTCAAATCAAGCAAAAATAGTGACTTCCAGTGCGTCACTAACCATGATCAATGAATTTTTCCAACATTTCTTTTGCACAAAAACCTTGTTCCAATGTATCCAAGTGTAGAAAATTTAACCTTACAGATGTCAAATTCATCCAAATTGGGCTCTCCGTTGGAAATCTTACCCAAGTATATGAAATTCTTCAAAATTTCTTCGGTAAAAAAAAACTATTTGCAATCTATACTATTCTATACATTCCGCTGTTTTCGACTATCAAAATCACGATAATTGCACTGAAGACTCACTCCTTTGCCCAGAGATATCATAATATCCTAACACTGGGTATCGTCGACATACCAGTCACGATATCCATTCAAGTGGATATCTAAAATGAATACTAAAATGAATACCCATGTTCATCATAGCTGAGGAATTTGAGTGCATTTGGTGTAACGAGAATGGGTATCCATTTTTGTATATCCCCAGCGCTGAGGAATTTGAGTGCATTTGGTGTAACGAGATTGGGTACCGGAAATTTTCCTACTGTCAGGTCCTACTTCAAACAAATTAATATAAAAATGGATACCCATTCTCGTTACGGGTGTGGGTGTGGGTGTGGGTGTGGGTGTGGGTGTGGGTGTGGGTGCTAGTCTTTTCATCATATCCACACCCGGCAGCGGTAGCGGCAGCACCGTCATGGACATATATGATGTATCTCCAAATGATTTTTAGTTTATTCAAAATTTGTTAGATTGTATTTTTTTTCTTTTAGATTTTTTTTTGTCTGTTCAATACCAATAGAAAAGGACAAAAAAACGAATCGATGGATGAATTTATTGATCTACCAAAAAATTTACTTCAGAAATTACTCGATAGTCCGGGATTATCACAAAAATTATGTAATCAAGATACTACAAATAAAATTGAAAGTATATTAAACGAATATTTATTAAATGTTAGGGATATGCAATCAAATTCAACGACAACGAAGAATGTATTACAGGGACAATCTCATATTTATTCATTTTTATTTGATTGTTTTGTTGATTTGGAATTAATTTCGTCTTCAAAATTTGACGCCACTGGCAATCAGCTGCCTAAGATAAAAATGAAAAAATTGTTGACAACTGAAATCTTATCAAAATTGTATCAGAATTTGAAATGTTGTGAAGAAAGTATTTCCCTTTTTCAATTACTTTCGTCTTCTCGGCATGATGGCAGTGGTAATGATTTGTTAAATCAAATAAAAAATTTTTTAAATGAATATCCTGAATATAAAAACAAATTTGGGATTTATGGCACGACAATTTTATATGCAGCAGCAGAAAATGGAAATTTAGAAATAATTAAGTATTTAATTGAGAATGTCAAGTGTGAATTGAATTTGCAAAATCCTCAAGTAATTTTACCAAATGGAAACGAATTATTATCGAATGGAAATACACCATTGCACGCTGCTTGTTATTTTGAACATTTGGATATTGTTAAATATTTTTTAGAATATCAAAATGTCGATTTAAGTTTAAAAAATTCGTCCGGTCAAACACCGCAAATGATAGTGGAATTAAATAAAAATCATCTAATTTTACTGGATTTGGAACAATTTTTAAAGATGAGTGAAATGTTTTACATTATTTTGAATGAGTCAAGTAATTTGGATGAAGAATACAAAGAAATTATTACAAAATTTATTCTCAAGGATAGTGAGTCGATTCAAGAAATTATTGAGCAGAAATTTCCTGGTGTTGAAAATGAAAAGCAGGCTCTAGTGGCTATTTCGAATATTGAACAGCAAGGCTGGATTACATTTGCCATTCTCAAAGTTAGTAAAGAATTTTTTGTATTTTTTGTCAAAGATGAATCTTCTTCTTCGTTTTGTTCGTATGAAAGTAAAAAGAATCAAATAATGAAAATAATAGAAGAGAAACGTAAAAATAATTTCTCAATTCAAGTAATTGAGAATAGAAATCGAGAAGAAAATGACGAGATTAGTAATACTCTTGGCTTTGCTTTAGCTTTGAATAAAATGAAAGTTATTATCGAATTTTTAAAAGATGAAAAAATTAAAAAAGAAACATATAAAAAGAAATTTGAAGAAATTAATTTTTCTATTCACGCTAATGATGGTGGTGATGCTGCTAACAATAGACGTCGAGAGATTCTTTTTAATTTTGAAAAATCATTTGTTGAACAAGGACTTGATGAAACGAGTATAGGGAAAGTAACGTTAGAAATGATTTTGGATGCATTAAGAAATGTCATGAAAAATGATAAAAAATATTTGTTACAAGAAAATCAATTAATCAAATTAGCAAATTTATTGCCAAAAAGAAATTTTTCACGATTAGATGGCGATAAAATTGATCTAAAAGAAATCATCATCAAAATTCTTCTAGAATTTAAAAATAGAGGACAAGTAATTAACAATCGAATCGTAGAAACAAATTTACAAAATTATTATGAGAGTAATAAAAGCTATTTAGTTGAGGTAGAAAAATTTGATAAAATTCTTCATCGAGATTTTCGAGACAATGAAATCAAAGGTTGTCTCATTCTTGCATTAAATGATCAAAAAGAATTTTTATTTTCTATTGGAAAATTAATTCCAAATTTGAAATATTTTGATGAATTTATTCAATTGTTGGACGATCATAATCAGAAAAGACAAGAATTGGAAATAGAGAAAATAAAGTTGAATAGGAAATTAGACATTTTGAATTTAGAAGAAGAGAAAAACAATGAGAAAGAAATAAAACAACGTAAAGAATTAATTGATATCAGGTTTAAGATTAGTGAAATTCAAAAACAGTTTGATTATTGTCTTGCTAAATCTGAAATTAGTCAATCAGTCAATATTGATGATTTGATTGTTTTGTTAGGAGAGAATCTCACTGATGAGTACGCATTTTCCCAAGAAACGATAAACAAACTAATCGAAGTTGGGAAAAGAACAGAAGAAAATGAAGAATTAGCATCGGCTTTAATTAAAATTTTGAATTTTAATAAAAGCGAGAAAATTCCGTTGGATAAAAATCGTAATAGAAAAGAAATCGAGCAAGTGTTAACTAAACTTTTATCTCAAATTTCACAATCTGACAAGAGTGTGGAAATAATTGTCAATCTTCGTAAAGAATTTTTAATAACTCTAAATCAAAATTCAAATTTATTAAAATTTCTTCATCAAATTTTGATTGAAAATCAAAATTTAAAATACAGAACACAGGCATTAGAGATTTTGAAATTGTCAAAATTTTATCCAAACAATTTGGAATATATTGAACGAACTGTTAGCTTAGAGGGGAAATGTTCTCAAAATGATCCAACGATTGTTGACGATTGCTTAACGCAAGTAAAAAGTGGGAATAAATTAACCTTGAATTTATTTCAAAAGTTAATACAAGATTTTTCTACTCATATCGAAATGATTGGAGAAATAATTAAAGAAATTGTTGAACATGATGTGCAGAAATTACCAGAATTATTGATTCAAAAATTTCAAGAACATGTGAAGTCATCACCTCTCGTTTCTACTTTGTCTGATAAGAAAAATCGAACAAAAACCATGATCAGTATTTGTAAATCGTTGATAAAAGGTAAATATTTGATTGATTTGAATGAAATTCAACCAAATATTGGAGATTTGTTGTTAATCGATGGAGATGAAAATTTAAGAGATGAAATTTTGGAAATGGTTTTTACAAAATTTACTAATGGAGATGAGATTGGACAAGAAATAATTGAGAAAATCAAATCGTTGGCAGTAAAAAATGAATATGCAGAAAATATAATCAAATTTATTGAAAACAGTTCCATTGGCGATGATATTGCCACTTTAAAAAATCCAAGAAAAGATTTGACAGAACGAAAACAAGCATTGGATAAGATTGTGACACCATCAATAGCAGCCATAAAAGTATTAGAATCTCTTATTATATATGATCCTGATTTAAGAGCAGGCTCTTTTAAATCATTGGTCAAATTATTGCCAAATGATTATCGTCAAGTAAAAGGTTTTGAAATTGATTTGAATGTAATCGCAAAGGCGATTTATGACGATGAAAATATTTCTATCGAAGATATTTCGACATTGGTATATAAGAATAAGAGCGGTGGAGATTTGCCAGCTATTCTACCTACAATTTTTCGTCGAATTTGTGATGATCAACAAATTGCGGCATTGAATTTACTAAATGAAATTTCGTGTTTTGAGCAACAACAAGGAAATGAGCTTGTCGAATATTTATTGAATTTAGCAGTGAGTACTACTGAGAATCAAATTAGATCTCAGGCAATCACAATGATAGAGAATTGTATAAAATATAATAAAAATCTAGCGAATATTGAAATTACAAAAAAGAAAGTTGATAATGATGGAACAATAAAAGAAATCCAATCTTCGTTAGCTGATGAGTTGAAAAAGCTTAAGATGAAGTTATTGATTGATAAGGACACACTACAAAATCTCAGTAAAAATATTCAACAAAGAAATGTGACTGCTACTCGAGAGGAAATAATTTTATTGATAGAGGCTTTGGTTAATTCGAAAGAGAAAGAAAAAGGTCTCGATCACCAGATAACCGACCTGTTATTACAAATCGACCTTGGACAAAGTTTAAACAATGAGATCACCACTCGTCTTTACAAAGAAGTAATTAAAGATCCAAAGCTTATCCGATTTTCCAGTCTTGTGCGTATTATTGCCACCGGTTTAAGTAAAATGAGAGAAATACCAAGTCCCCTCACAGATGTTTTATGGGAACAATTTTTGTTATTACCTGGGGATCTCTCTGATACGACAGAGATGTCATTGAAGCACAATCTTATTTACGTAATAATGATATTGGTTACACAAAAAACGCAAATACCAAAGAATGTATTGGAAAAGTTAGCAAATTTATTAATGAATCAACAAGATGATATACAAGTGAGAATTGTCATAGCCAAAATTTTATCAAAACAGATTGAAATAAATTGTGACGCACTAGCTATTCAATTATTAAAAAGTGCTGCATTACTACCTCGAAATAATGAAGATGAAGATTTGTTAAATAAATTTGTCTTTCGTAGTTTGAAAGCAAATGTTGATGAAAATTTTCTAATTAATTTTTACGAAGAATTCCGAAAACGAGTAGTAGCAGCTGCCGTCGAAGACAAAGAAACAGTCAAAGAACTACAACAGTTGGATACATTTATTCAAGGAAAAGAAAATAACTTTAAAAAGTTTCAATTACTAAATGCGCTTAACATTCAATTTTTAAATAATCAAAAAATTGACACAACAATTTTTACACAATTTAATCCAAGTGAATGGACAAGATAAATCTTAGCAAGTCAACTGTTGATTGGAATATTTAAAATAAAAAGAAACAATGATGAAGGAGTCAATGAATTTGAATTGGACAAATTTCGCGAAAGTATTCAATCACTAACAACACAAACGAATATTTCAATTGAAGATCTATTAGAAATATTAATAGAGAAACAGCATATTTATGAATTTAATCTTCAAACACTTAATGATATATTTGTCACGTTGATTTCAAAAAAATCGGGCGATGATGATAACGACGAGATACAGAAAGTATTGGATATTTTACAAAGTGATAACGCTAATTTTTATATTCAACTAAAAAACATTTGGCTTGCTAAACATTTAAAATATTTTCATATTGAATTTACAGATGAACATTTAATTCAATTAAACCAATATTTACCCTACAGACCAGAGACAATCAATTTGATTTTTGAACGAACACATGAACTACAACAAAAAAACGACGTCAATTGATGAATTAATTCAATTTTTCATAATTCTAGCAAATTCTGGTTTAACACAAGAGAGTAGTCAATTGTTTCTGGCAAATGAACTTGTTGAAAAAACAACTCTTAGAAAATTGATAGTAAAATTAGGTGAAAAAATAATTGGTCTACTTTTATCTGAAAAATTTCCATTCTATCGAAATTTTCTTAAAAGTAAGAAGAGCTACAAAAGCTATAATTTTATATTAAAAGCAACAACAAATGTTCGATCGAGAAAAAATGCCTACAATCAAGCACATACAACAGAATGGTACACTGCCGAAGACATTGCACAAATATCTTCTCAATGGATGAAAGAGTTTTCTGTTCCTGATAAAGCCAAACAGTTAAGAATTACACAGGCGTTAGGTCGACAAGATAACAAGAGTTTAGCAACTATTTTAAACCAAGTATTGACTGAATACAAACAAGAACAAAATAGAACATTTCTTATTCCATTAAATATTGCCGATAATCACTGGGTTACTGTAGCGCTTGTGCACAGTCAAGATAAAAATATTCTACTTTACAAAGATTCATTGGGAGAAGATAATGGTATTGAAGAAAGAGTAGAAGTAGAAAAAATATTCGAAGCAGCAGCATTAACAAATTTTGAATTTAAATTTAATCGTTCTTGTGAACAATCCGATGGTTACAATTGTGGAGTCTTTGCATTAGCAAATATGAAAATTATGGCTGAACAATTGACATCGTTGACGAATCGAGAAGATTTTATTGAAAATTTTGAGCATTATAAAACTTTTGTTAGTCAAGAAAAAGTTGGTCACCTTCGCAAAGAAATTTTTCCGAAAATGTATGCATTGAGTTTATGTGAACCGTTTAAGAGAAGGAAAATTGTTGATCATCATTCTCCTGAATTAAGATGTCTAGAAGAACTGCTTCAAACGAATGAAATCTTTGTGAATAACGTTGAGCGTCCGACAACAACAACACAAGAAAATTATCGATTACGATTGTCAATTGCGTTATCTCAAGAAGAAAATTTATTGAAAAATGATTATGAATATTTGTACGTCATAGAAATTAGTGGTGGAAATGAGAATGGCAATGTTCTTGATATAGATTTTACCAAAGCGAGTCAATTAAAAACAAAACTTATTCAAGTTTTAGGCATAAAGGGAACTTATTCAGAAGGAACAAAATTCATTAAAATACCAGCCGGAAAATTAACAGCAGTTACTCAGAAAGAAAAGAAATTAGATCCAATTCAAATCACAATCGAGAAATTATCATTTTGTGATAAGGGAATTGACGAGTTACTCGGCCAACTTAATGTTGATGTTACAGAATTTAATAAAGAAATATTACGAGATAATTTGGGCTTATTGAAAGGAAAATGTGTTCCTGCTGCTGCTAGTGACAAAAATGAAATTATCGATAGTAAAGATTGTGAGCTAGTTTATGAATTGCATCAAAAATTGACAAAGATTTTGACATTTGCCGGTTGGATTTTGGAATCAATTATCCAATTATTATCTCATGCTAATTCAAAAGTGAAACTGGAGCATTTATTAAATTCGTTAGATCCAATTTATGAATACAATTTAAGAGAATACGATCAGAATATGAAAGGAAAGAATTTGTTTCATATTTTGACGACAAATTCATCGAAAAATTGGTTCACAGAAATTCACAATGTGGCAATTTTTCAAACATTTAAAGGCAGTCATGTCAAAGATTTAATCCAATTGAAAGGAGAAATATTCTCAAAAGAATTAAATAAGTATCACAATCCTTCATTTTGTCAAGATGAAAAATTAATAACAGATGAATATGACAATGTAAACGATTTTTATGAGTCAAAAAAATCTCAAATTTGCCCTGAATTTGATGTAATTCAGAAATGGAAAACAGATCATATAAGTCAATGGGCTGAAAAATTTAAATTAAATCGAAATGGTGCTAGCCGAGTTGAAATTATTGCAATAATAAAGAGAGCAGTTGAAATTACAAATAAATTTCCTGCAAGAGAAATTCAATCACTTTCCTTATTGATTTTGTTGAATCCAAAAGACAAATTGGGACGTCTTGCTCAAATAAATACTGGCGAAGGAAAGACAACAATCGTTGCAATGCTAGCGGTATTCAAAGCTCTTGAAGGACATCAAGTTGACGTTGTCACAAGTTCTCCAGAATTAGCAAAACCACAATCAGAAGAACAGCGAAAATTTTTTCAACAATTTGGTTTAACGTGTGCACACAACGGGCAAGATCCAGAGGTTGACATTAAACAACGATATCAAGCGGACATCGTTTATGGAGCAGCAAGTGCTTTTCAAGGAGATATTCTACGAGACGAGTACAGTAAATTGGGCACACGTCAAGGACGAAAATGTGATGTTGCCATTGTTGATGAAGTCGATTCTATGTTGATTGATGGAAAAAATCACATTGTCATGTTGTCAACGCCAATGCCAGCAATGGACCATTTGGAGCCATTGTTGGCAGCAATTTGGATACAAATCGGAGAAATTGCAAAATCGATTAAAGAAATAAATGGAAAATGGTATTTTATTGAACAAGAGAATGCACTAGATGAGAGTGGAAAAATTCGGTCCAACATAGTCGAACATGCCCGTTGTATTACAATAACAAAAGAAGAATTTATTAAAAATTGTACTGAAAGCCATATTAGAAAAATAATTCGAGATGAAAAAAATTTATTAGCAAGTGACAAAGAAAATCTTGAAAAATATCCGGAAATAAAAATTCCAAAACATTTAAGAGAATTGATCATTCAAATTCAATTGAAAAGATGGATTGATAGTGCAATTCACGCAAAATATAAATGCAAAATAGAACAGGATTATATCATTAAAAATGGAAAGATTGCACCAGTTGATGCAAGCAACACAGGAATTGTTCAACAGAACATGAATTGGAATGATGGTCTTCATCAATTTTTGCAAATTAAACACGGGGCAAAAATAACTCCAGAAAGTTTTACAACAAATTTTATTTCAAATGTCACATATTTCAAACGGTATTCGCCGAATATTTTTGGTTTGACAGGAACACTTGGAAGTAGCAATGCTCGGCAATTGTTAAATGAAACCTACGAGGTTGACAGCGTCATTATTCCACCATTTAAACAAAAACAATACAAAGAATTGACACCGATCATTTGTGACGACGAAGATGATTGGTATTTGAATATTGTTCAAAGTTCAATGAATAAACTCAACAATGCCAGAGCTGTATTGATAATTACAAAATATATTCGACAAGTCGAAGAAATAAACAATCGATTGATCGATGCAGGATATGATAAAGAGAAAATAAAACTGTACAAAACAGAAGAAGATTCAGCAAAAGCAATTAAACAAGAATTGAAGCATGGAGAAATAATTATTGCAACAAACATTGCTGGAAGAGGAACAGACATTCGAGCTGGTGATAAAATTGAAAACAATGGTGGGCTGCATGTGTGTGTGACATTTTTACCACCGAATGAGCGAGTTGAACAGCAAAATGTTGGTCGAACGTCAAGAACAGGCAATAAAGGAACGGCACAATTTATTTTATTGACAAAAAAATCGGACGATGAATTTGCAACACTGAAGAAGGTGCGAGATAAGGAAGAAGACAGTGGACTGCAATCTGCAAAAACAAAAATCGACAAGGTGATAATCAAAGATGAAACATTTGCACTATTTTGTCAATTGTTGAATGATATTGATGATGGTAATAGTCAGCTACCACAACAAGATCAAAGATCTGACTCAAAAATTAAACTTCGAGCAGTTGAAGAACGATTTGGTATTTGGTTGAAGATGGAAGACGCAACTGCTTCTACCACCGATGGGGAACAAACAAACAAAGGAGACATGAAAACAAATTTTAAAAAATTTAAAGATCAAATTTTGGATAATAAAAGAAATAATCTATTAATTCAAAATCCATATTTTCATGTTCTAATTGGAAATCAATTGTTGGGAGTGAAACAGAGAGGAGAAAATGATAAAGCAATTGAAGAATTTACAAAAGCAATAGAACTGGACCCACCATTTCAAGCGAATGCATTTTATAATCGAGGATATGCAAGAATTGCTGAATATGGCAACAATATTCAACATGAACATATTGACAAAGCAATTGATGATTTTAAAGAAGCAAAAAGAATAATTGAAGACAACTTCGAACCAATGTTGAATATTATTCAACAAGCGTCGACAGATTCTGAAGCTTTGTCCGAACAAGTGGCACACAAAATGACACTCTACGCAGTACAAAAGAATACAATTGAAATGGCAATTGGCCAAGATATATCATCGCAAATTAAAGCCTTGGAGAAAGAAAAACAAGAACTAAAAGACGCAACAGAAAGAAGAAGAAAAGAGATTGATGAAAAATTGAAAGAATTACAGGAAGGTGAACGAAAATCAGTTGAGAAACAGATCAGTGCATTAAATAATGAGAAAACGGAACAACAAGATGTAATGATAGACAAGGAAAAACTAATTGATGACCAAATAACAAATTTAAAAGAAAACCAGCAAGCAAAAGAACTTGGAATTATTGGACTAGCAAAAAATTCAAACCGAAGCATTGAAATTGAACATGTCGAAATTGAAAAATCTTTGCCAGAAGATGAAGATGTTAATTTGTACACAGAAGAAATAAAGGAATACAAAAATAATGGATTCAGAGGAAGTTTTAAAATCAAAGAAATCAAACCAATCGATTGGCAGGCCGTAATTTCCGTAGCAGCTCTTGGCATTGCACAGTTGGTAGGTGGAGCAGCCATTGCAGTATTCTCACTTGGTGCTGGCACTTCTGTTGGAATGGGATTGATGTTTGAAGGTGTGAGTGATCTTATAAATGCAGTGAAGGATGGAATTATTAATAGAGATTTCAGTTGGGTATCCTATGGAATACAAAAAGCGATTAGTTTGACTGTCTCTCTTGTGTGTGCTGGAATGGGAGCAATAAAGGATGCAGCAAAAACAGCAGTCGCAGGAATTAAACAAGTTGCGTCGGTCGCGACAAAAACAGTTGTGACAACAGTAACAAAAACAGGATGGAAAATAGCGGCGAAAGCAATGGGCACTGCTATTGCAAAAGGTGTAGCCAAAGAATTGGTTACGCAACTTGTTGATTATGGAGTGAATAAAGCGTTGATGCCTAGCATTGAAGCAGAGGTAATGAATTTAATAGAAAAGCCAATACAAGATGCATTGGTGAACAATTCTCATGTTGAAAAAATGTTAAAATTGGATGGAATAAATCGAAATAATAAATATCAAATGTTAATTAAAAATAAAGCAATTGAACTGTTGAATCCACAACAGCAAGGAGGAAACAATGCTTTGGCAACAATCGCAGCAGGTATAGTCAAAGGGATAGCTTCGAATAAAATGCCTGGTTTATCAACAATAATGCAAATAAAAGAAGCGGTCGATGCTTTAGCTACTTTAAAAGACTTTGTGCCAGAGTTTTTAAGAAAATTAAATCAAGCAATTAAAGAAATATTTGAAGCAGAAGATATTCAACAAGTATTGAAAGAATTTGATATGAAGCAGCAGGAGCACGTAACGAACATAGAGAAAACAACTGTTAGTAATCAGCAACAACAACAAGAAGAAAGGATTAATGAGAATAATTTTATTACAACAACAAGTAACTATGATGGCCGAGAAGAAGACGACATTGACATATACCAAAGTAGTGAACAAGAGCCCCAAGTGGAATTAAATAAATCAAGTAAATCTCCAGATGGCTTACGCCAAACGTTAGCAGCAAGTGTATCGACAAATATGTGTAATATAATAAAAAGCAAATTAATTACACCTGTCACTCGTGCAGGCATTGATTTTGGATTGAAGAATCTAACGGCAGGATTAGATAAAAGTATAATGGAGGAAATTGGCATTTTTCAAGCAGAAAGAAGAGTTGAATTTTCTCAAGATGGAGACAAAGACCATCGAATACCAGATGAACATAAGCAAGGCATGAAAGATAAAGCAGCTGTAGCTAAAGCAAATTCAATTATTAATGGTGTTAAAACTGATGATGAAGCAGGTTTACCACATTTGGGTGCACTTAGTGAAGCAGTAGAAAGACCGATACGAATTTTGGATGAAAATGGAGATCTTATACGCGTCATTGGCGAAGATAAAGGTGGCATACCAATTGAAGCTGAATATCATAAACCAACAAAAGAAAATCAGTCCGGACATTGGACATTACCTGGAGGACAAGACCCACTGGCGACTGGAAACAATGAAGGAAAAAATGATTGCCTTTTTAATGTAATTGGAGCACAAGCAGACAAAGATGCAAAAACATTGAGAGGAAATGTTGCAACAATAATGGAAAATAATAAAGAAAGTCTTGCCAATCAAGCATATGATATTAAACTATTAGAAAAATATAAACGTGATGCATTAACTTTGGGAGGATGTCCAGTGCATACAAAGGGAAGTGGGGAAAAAGCTATAGACGATTCAGCATCAAATATAGGTTATAAGGGTAAGAAAACGGGACATGCAAAAGAGCATACTGATGCTAATAAACCTTCTAGTGATTTCACAAGAAAAGTATTGACAGTGTTTAAAAAGACCGATGACATGGGTATGTTTTTTGATTCATTTATGGACACTCACGTTAATCAAAACAGTCAAAATGCGCCCATATACACAAGCACCAATCATCCGATTCTCAGCGAATTAACTAGCAACGTAGAGAAATTAGTTGTAACCTGTCCCGCACCTACGTCTGCGTTAATGGATGTTTATAAATCGAATAACCCAACTAAATCGATCACAGATTCAACGAATCGAGTTGCTGTTGATGAACCGATTAAAAGCGTTACGTTTGTTCTGTATAGTCGGAAAGATCAACGCGGCAAGTATGCTCCATCTGATCCAGTACATGTGCATACAGCATATCCTAGCAGTAACCCTGTTAGTGACACCAAAGTGACAATTTACAAAATAGATAAGACAACCACTACTAAATGTTGGGATAAAAATGCGCATGTTTTGAAATAATAATAACCATAGTAAAGAGAAGCACAATTTATTAAAAAAACATAATTCAACTATTAAAATATTTGAATTGAGTAAGATCCAGAGAGAGAGTTCCTGTCTTTTCTCAAAATAATTTCGATTTTATTTAGCTTTACTTTGTACATCACAACATTTAATAAAATGCTTTTATTGACTAACAACAAAATATTCTGTTCTTGCTTGGAAATGAATAAAAAAAGACTCAAAATATTTGCTACACTCGTTAGATACACACACAAGAAAAAAAGAACAGACTCTTATTTTTTTCTCCTTGGTTTAGTAATAAGGGTTTTAAGGATTTATAATAGAAAGAAAGCTCGTGCTCGTAGATTATCAATTTTTGTCAACATAATTGCCATCTATTATACTCTTCGATTCCAGATTCTATTCTTTTACGTAATATTTAGTCTACTTGCTTTTCTTTTTCATTTTCGCGGATCCCTTTTTTGCTTCAACTATCTCAATCCAAAACTACCTTTTGTTTTCTTTTTCCTGAAACATTTCATTTTTGAAAAAAATTATTAACTATCTTTTTTACTTTTTTATTTACTTCTTCAACAAAAAAACTCAAACTTCACTGTTTTGCTTTATTTCATCGTATCATTTTGCGCTTTTTACCCTTCAGAACTATCTTTCCAAAGGCTCTTAATGTCTTACTAATGTTTACGTTCTTACTATTCATCCCTCTTTATTATTTCACACATACTCCCCGATGCAACGCACAGCTGGCCAAGTGACGCAGCGATATGCGTTGTGCAATGCGCTGCATGTTTCCTTCGAAAAGAAATAAAATTGTAGAGAAGAAAAGGTGAACAAGAAAAATAATTTTCTGTTCGATATATTCGTAAACGATTCTGCGTATTTTATTTTTGTTCTTCTAAAGAAAATAAAAATGTAAACCATTGCTTGCTTTACCCTTTTTATGTTTTAAAAGTTAACTATTTTCTTTTTTCCTTTCTCTGAATTTTTTTAAACGATCGTATTTTGTTTTTTTTTGCCGCTGCTCTACTTTTGGTCTTGGAATCAATGTTTTCTAATTTTTTGTTAAAAAAACGCAAAAGATGGCATAAGGACATGTCTGTATGATTACTGACTTGTGTTTCTGTTACATTTTTCTCTTTGTTTTTCTTGAACTTTTTTCTTTCGCTCATTATCTTATCGCTTGTGCGTTTATTAAATTTTTTATTCTGAATATAACGATCAAAAACTGCAGATTTTCGTTGTCATGGTATACGCGAGAGATCGAATTCTAAAGTTAGAATATTAAAAGATATGTACAATATAGGTTCATTGCTTATTTTGACTTGATTAAACTGCAAGCATTTTATACTAAATCAAATCGTTATTCTCATGGAAACTCCACCAGACTTAATAAATTCATATATTCATTTGATCATATCCATTTATCAAAAGGTAAGTTGCCTAAAAATATACGAAACAAGAAAACCTCAACATACATTCTTAATCTATAACATAAATGAGTTAATGATAAATCGAAAATTCGGAAATCTTGTATAAAACCGTTCGGTTTCCTTCATTTTATTTTTTAATCGATAGTGGCATCAACGTTTGAACCTATTGTGGATATGACTTGATAGAATAAAGCAGTTATTACAATTAAAAACTCAGTCGATTCAGTTGAAAATACATTCTACGATTATCTGGACAGCTATGAAAATCTCTAACTAAGAAACAATCAGAAAATGTCTAATACAATCTCAAAGCAAAACAATGAATTAATGTAATGGAAAATTGAATTTTTATTCTTGAATTATATTGCATCAAAAGATTCTGATGCTGAGTCAATGATATATACCAAAACATTCTATTTCTATGCAATAAAAGACTAGAATAATACAAATATCAACGTAAGAGTTGATCAATAATTTGATTCTGACGAAGACGATAATGTGGATGCACATTTTTTTAGCCAAACATTGAATCAAAACTCATTGAAAATAATACTCTTTTTCCCCCTCTCTAGTTCAATGGCTCCTGTAGAAGTTATTGTGTCCAGTAGCATAGCCAGAAATTTGTCAGTCATGGGTCGTTTCCCAGCTAAATTATTTTGCGTAGTGGGCACCAATAGGCAATTAAAAATACAACTGGGCTATACTTTTTTCCGATACGCATTGTCATTGCGAAACCGATGCATACTGAAGGAAAACTCATCATTATTAACTAGATCACAATAAGAGACATTGTTTTACAATAACACCATGTATCTTTGAACATATATGCGTATCAAAATTTTTCGGCATTGGGCAACTGGTAGCATTTTAAAAAATTTTTGGGCAATAACTTCTTAGTTATTGGGCTATTGCCCAACGCCCCCTGGCTACGCCACTGATTGTGAGCAATAACTTTATTCTATTTATTTTTCCAACTCCACTTTTTATTTGACAAATTACATAGACAAACATGATGCCTCCATACTGAATATATTATACTTAGTTTCTTACGTATGTAAGATTGACCTTAGATTGGCCGTATGTTAATTGTAATTCTACATTGGACGTATTTTAATTCTTCAATCCGACATTGACCTGATTTACAATACGTCCAATGTGAAATTCCAGATTTGACGCGTCCAATGCGGGATCCTAGATTGGACGTGATCCAACATTGACCGCTAACATATATATGTATACTTCTTTTTCCGTTCTGTGACCAATCATATGAAAGTTCCCGAAGAAATGAAGAAACACTTGTACATTATAATATAGATAATGTATTACTTTCTTATTCAAGATACTTTTATGTTATGAACTTGCCTAATATGAAAGATGAAACTTAACCATTGAACTTCTATTAGTTAATTGGAAAATATAGATTGATAAAAAAGAAATATAATTCATAATAGAATAATTGTTGGACAATTCTATTTCTATAGAGTTGCATTGATATCGTCGTTATATGTTATCTCGATCTAAAACATTAGTTTTTGTCAATTCTATTATCAGTACTATTGTTAATTCCGACGAAATTTTCCTGTTTTCTTCGACGAGAAAACTTCCAAGCGATGTTTTCTTTTCGAAATGTCTTATTCCACAGAAGAATATGTCAAATAGTATACAAAAAGATATCCTAAAATCATATGCTTCAAATTCGTGTTTTTGCTCCAAACTCAATTATTTTATTGAATGATTTACTCACATATTTAAGGATATTTTGAGTAAATCTTGAATTAAAGAACTTTAGTCTAAAGTATAATTCACTAATAAATATTATAATATTCATAAGATTTAGAAATAAATTCATCTTTTTTTCTTTAATATAATTAGTATTTTGGAAAAAAATTGTATGTAAAATATATTATCAAGTACGTCGTTTTCCTCTAAATGACAGGTATCAACCGAGAACACCTGCAAAAGCGGATTGCGCAACACTACATCAACATAGCAAACAAGCAAAAACACATTATAGTAAAACATTTTTTACAAGAAAAATTTCGTCGTCAAATCATATATAGTATAGTTAACAAGTACGAAGATTCTAGCTATGTTGGTGGCAAACCAAGATCTGGTCGTTCAAAGAAATTGTCTCGTGGAAAATTAACAAGACTCAAACGTCTTGTTAATAAAAAGACAGGAATATCTTTGAGGCAATTAGCGCCATAATTTAAAGTTAGTTATTAAACAATCTCTAATCATTTGAAAGCAATGGGCATCCGGTGTTATAAAAAAAACAACGAGCACCAAAATATACGGATCAGCAGCTCGAAGAAATCCCTGCTCGTGCACGTCGATTATATCGCATATTGTCAAACAACGATTTTGATTTAATAATGGATGATGAAAAATATGTTTTATTACAAGATCAATCTGTACCAACTAACCGTGGATTTTACACTTCTGATAAACGTACTACACCATCACAAATCAAATTTAAAAGAATCCAGAAATTTGAACCGAAAATATTAGTTTGGATTGCAATATCTGAAAATGGAATTTCGAAACTGTTTTTTTTCAAAACAAAAGCAAGCTGTTAACCAAATAATTTATTTGGATAAATGTATTGTAGCACGCTTAATGCCATTTATTACAAGCCATCAAAAAAAGGAAAAAGTATTGTTTTGGCCTGATTTAACTTCAAGTCATTATAGTCCAAGGGGGAAAAAGCGCGACTTCATCTACTTCAAAAAAATTTGAAGTACGATGGAAGTACATGGAAGTACGATAGAAGTACATGGAAGTACAAGAGAAGTACGAGTGACGTACAGGGAAGTACGAGTGAAGTTCAGGGAAGTACGAGTGAAGTACAAGGGAGTACGAGTGAA